GGGCCTTCAGGCCAGTCCTTTAAGCTCCCTGAGCTTGTCTTTTTTTTTTTTATTTATTTGTCAAGTTAGAGATAATAGGAATGTTGGGAGGCATATGTGAGCTAATGAATGTAAAGAGCTTAGCACAGACTGAGTGTTCAGTAAATGTCAGCTGCTCTTACCGAAGAGAACACAGAGCAGGTAACACTGGTAGAGGCTGCTGGAGCCAGATCACATCTGCCTGCACTGACTTCAAACTGTAACATGTAGACAATGGGCACCTTTTAAGACCTTGAGCCAGGGCATCGGACGTGGTCTGCCTTAGGCTCTAATCTCCTTTCTGACCTTGGACGTTGGTAAAACCTCCAGGGTAGGTTTGATGATTCCCATTTCATAAGTGAGAAAAGCGAGGCTTAGGGAACTTGAATGACCTCTTCTTCAAGGTCGATTGGCTCCTAAGCAGCAGACCCGAGCCTGGTCTTCTGAACTCGAAGTTCTGTGCTTCCCCCGCCCCACCCTACTGCTCGCTAACCGACTGACAGACAGCATCACACCAGCCTCGCCCCGGCTCCAATTAGCAGACAAATCAGAAGTGGCTGGCGGGGCTCCGTGCCTGCTGCAGTCGTGTTGATCATCCATCAGAGGAGAGAAGTGGTGTGCCAGGCTGGTGATTCAGACCCCCTCGGAGAGAAGATTTAAGGTGATGTGGCTTATGGGGCTGGTCCTAGGGACTGTAATTCGCATTGTCGGATATGCTTAGACGCAGAATATTTCAGCAATTCACTGCAAGCCGAATATAGCCCTCACCCGGGGAGAGCTTTGAGTCCTTAAGGAACGGGTGAAATTGAGGCTAAGACTAGAAGTTGGAAAGCCTAGGTTCTGCCTTGACGTTGCATGGGAGAAAAGTGTATCTTACTTTTATTTCTGGGATTCAGTCTCCTTCTGTGAAAAATGAGGAGTTTGGGAAAATTCAGTTTGGTAGTAGGTAGTGTTAGAGTGAGCTTATGGGAGAATGCAGATCTGTTCTCTTTAAACAGACCTCCAGCTGGAGGAAGTAGCTTCAGTGCAGTAAAGAGTAGTGGAGAGTCTGCGTTTGAGTCTGGCCTTTACCCATCACGCTCAGTGTGAACGTGGGCTTTTCCACTCCCGTCTCTGAACCCGAGTTTTTGCATCAGGTGGGTTGGATTTGTACAGAAATCAAACTGATGAGCTGTGGGCTAAATCTGACTTGTGGATGAGATTTACTTGGTTGCCAGACAGATCTATCTTTTCAATTATCCTCCATCTCTTTGGTGAGCTGACATTTAAAAGGTGGGAGATCTTGTGTCCAATTCTGGATTCCGAAGTCCTCTTGAAAAAGCAGAAGACTTAGTTACCCTGGGCCCTGCTCATACTGAAAGCACACACTGGAACTGGGCGGTGACTGCTCTCCCTGGGACTGGCAGTCACTGCCAACCCCACCACTGCCACACAGCCCGCTGGTCTCATTTATGTCACCAGCCTCTGGTAGCATCCCAGCGTGCCAACCCAGGGACCAGGGCCTGTTTACCTGCATTCCCTGCCCGTAAGCATGGACCTGCCACTCTGCTCCCTGAGGCTGAGACCCCACCCTCCTGGGAGCCACGAACCCTCCCCTGGGAAGGTCACAGAGTCTGGAGTCTGCCTGGATGACTGTATTGTAACATGCTGGAGTTATTTTCGCTCTTCATATATAAATTTATATAGGCCTAGTGGACGTAGTTTTCCAAAGTCTTGCACCCTCTTGGAGATGTGTTCCTCTAGGGGATGTGAGCCTTCCCCAGCTGGGCACCCCATAATCGTCCCCTCCTCCATCTACTCCTTACAAGTTCCTTGCAATTCTATCAGTTGAAGACGGGGTGGCCACCCCAACAATTTGGTCCACTAGCCACGCCCAGAGGGCTGACCCTCCATACAAAAATGGGGTGAGGGGGGCCAGAGCTGCAAGCAGTGACTCGAAGGGTGGATACTTCCCTGACTAGGAGCTGCTTTTACTTCTGCCTCCTGCTCCTTCTTCCTTCTTTAGTTTCAGACACGCATATCTTGGGTACAGATATGCCAGCTCCTTTGGGTACACAGCTGTCACCTCAAACCCAGCGGGTCCTGACGAAACCCACAGTCTCTCCCCTGTCTCTGTCCCTGGGCCTTTGTCATTGTCCCTTATTTCAATACATGGCGCCTCCCAGTCGCCTGAGCCAGAAGGTGGGAGTCGGCTCGACTTCTTCCCTGTCCCCTCCCCAGCCCACCTGACCCAGGCTCTAGAGATTCCACCTCTACCTTCCAGTGTGTCACTTCTTTCCAGTCTCTCGGCTCCATCCAAGTGGAGGCCACCTTGGTCTCCCTGGACTCCTGCAGAGCAGAGCCTACTAACACGGTCTCCCCTGATCCATGCTCCTCCCCTCCAGTGAGTCCCATTCCACGCACCAGTGTGGTCTTGGGAAAACCCAGATCTGATCACAGCACGTCTCTCTTTAAAACCTTTTCGGGACTTCTGATAGACTTTAGGACAAAGCCCTAAGTCCCTAACAAGGTCTATATGCTCCTAAGGATCTGGAACCTCTCTATGCAGTAGGCGTGGAGGAGTCCCCTACCTTCTTGCAAAACTCACATCACCAAAGGAACTGCGCTGGGGCTTCCAGGCAGCTGCTCGTGCAGCTGGAGTAACCCTGGCCACAGTGGGCAGGAGGCTCCATGGACAAGGTCACCTGGGGCTCCTGGAGCTCAGCTGACCCAGATCAAGGTGAGACTTTCCAGTCACTCTCGGTGCTGAAGGAAAATGACCTTTTAGACAGGGCAGCCTCCTCAGAAGTCACCCCTAGAGGCCTCTAGGAATTGGCAAAACTTAAGTGCATCGTTATTCGGACTTGAGAGCAGGGATAAAGGCCTCTCCACATCCCAGATTTCAGAGCTAGCTGGTCACAGCTGGAGACGGCTTGTCCCCTGACCGGTTGCCCCTCATCTTAGAGCCTTAAGACAGAGGATTAGAACAGTTCTTTCCAGTTTTTATCATTGTTCCTGCCTGGTACTGGGTCTGGGAAGTTAGAAATTTAAGATAGATGAGCATCATGATCTAGCAATCCCACTCCTGGGCATATGTCTGGAAGAAACTCTAATTTGAAAAGACACACGCACCCCTAATGTTCATAGCACTATTTACAATAGCCAAGACATCGAAGCAACCTCAATGTCCATTGACAGATGACTCGATAAAGAAGTTGTGGTATATGTATATACAATGGAATATTACTCAGCCATAAAAATGAAATAATGCCATTTGCAGCAACATGGATGGACCTAAAGATGATCATACTAAGCAAAGTAAGTCAGACAGAGAAAGACAAATATCATATGATATCACTTATATGTGGAATCTAAAAAAATGGCACAAATGAACCTATTAACAAAACAGAAACAGACTCACAGACATAGAAAACAAACATGGTTCCTTGGGGGAAAAGGGGTGGGGGAGGGATAAATTAGGAGTTTGGGATTTTAGATACTAACTACTATATATATAAAATAGATAAACAACAAGGCCCTACTGTTTAGCACAGGGAACTATATTCAATACCTTGTAATAACCTATAATGATAAAGGATATATATATATATATATATATATATATATATATATATATATATATATATTACTGAATCACTATGCTGTACTCCAGAAACTAACACAACATTATAAATCAACTATAGTTAAATTTGAAAATAATTAAGAAAAAAGAAAAAAAAGATAGATGAGCATTTAGAAAAGTAAAAGGAGAAAAAGATGGAGGAGTGAGTCCAGGAGGAATTGCCACTGTATTTTAAAAGAGCCCAGGGTCCTGTCATGTCCGCATCCCCTGCTCCCTCCAGCTCAGGCTCCAAGATGCCCCAGGCTTCCTTCGGTGTTTGGGTTCATCCTTCCCACCTGGTGTTCCCTCTCAGGCCAGTCTTCTATCACACAGACCACTGGGACGGCTACCATTCCTCATCACTACCACCATTCAGAAAGAGTTCATCAAAATGACCTGTGGGAGGGTAACCTCTTTCTTCCGAAGAGTTTTAGTCATGAATGGAATCCAGCTGACAATCCAAGTACCAGCAAGTAGCCCCAGCCTCTACCTGTACAGGTGGGAAACCTGAAGGCCAGGGAGGGGAAGTGACCTGACTGAGGTGGCAATGGTGGGCTTGGCTCCAGAACCAGGTGTCCTGTTATGCAGTCTAGTGCTTCTTGCCTTATATGAAATAGTCTTATGAATCACTTCTGCAAAGTAATAAAATGCATTTAGCTAACATTTAACACAAGAGTCTCAGAGGTTGGCGTAAGGGAAGAGGGGGCTGGCATTGTGGGACTGCTGCAGGAAGAAGAAAAATTAATTAGGGCAAAAGTAGAATACTTTTGTCATTTTCTATTGCATTAATTTTAACTTTTATTTTCATTAAATCTCTCCTTCTGTATTGCTTTTTCATTTATTTTGTGGCTCCTCTCTAATTTCTTAGGATGAATACTTAGTGCAATCATTTACAGTTTCCCCCCTCCAAAACAGTAAAAGTATTGAAAGCTATGATAGGTCCTCTGAGTGCAGCTTTAGCTGCATCCCCTCGGCTTTGCTACAGAGTGCTTGCTCTCCTTTTCATCACTTTCTAGGTAATATAAAATTTGTTTTCCTTTTCTGTTTGAGCCAAAGATTATTTAGAAAGTACTTCTTAATTTCGAAATAGTTCAGATCTTTTTGGTCATATATATTTTTTATAATTTCTAAAATGAAATATCCATCAATATTGATGCTTAGAAACAGAATGAAGAGGAGTTGGCTTCAAGGAAGAGAGGAGCGATTAAGGTCAACTTCTCAACTTTTGGCTGGTGCCAGCTAGGTTGGGCATTTCGATCCTACCTCCTCTGATCTGGTGGGGAGGAAGCAAGAGGAAATTGGGGAGCAGGACTCCATGATGTCCTCAGTTCAGTGTCTGTTCTCTGGCTTCCTAGGCTGTGACCCAGAGGATTGCTTCCCCCTCTGTCCCTGTGTCAGGCATCTGTTTCTGTCCAAGGAGGTGTCTTCCCACTGGGCTGGGTGCTTGACTCGTAGGACCTCATATCCCCCATGGATAGGCATTATTCCCATTTGGCAGAGGTAGAAACTGAGTCCCAAAAGGGTGTAGACAATTTTCTCAGGTTATGCAGTGGAAACTGGATGCAAACAGATTTCTCTGGCTCCTGAAGCCTGGACTCATGCTGTTCTACCCTAGTCCAATCTTGATGCTCCCTGACGGGTGCTGCTGCTCAGAATTTTCAGATAGGAGCACCAAGGCCCCAAGTTTCAAAGGATTTAGTCATAATTACAAAGCGAGTGCATGGCTCAGTGAAGCTGATATTAAAACCATGGAAGAACACATGTTTTCTGCCCTGTCTTCCTAATTTCCTCTTCTCTCCATCCCCGCAACTTCCTTCCACATCTTTCTCTTCTTTATCCCAGTCCCTGGCTTCCTAACTAGGCAAACTGAGAAGTGTGGAGGGGTGTGGCAGGAGGAGGGCCAGCAGAGGGGGGCTGCTCGCAGACGGCAAGCTTTGTTTTGGGACAGGAGGCTGCCCAGACATTGGACTCCTCCACACCGAGCCACCCCCGTGGACTTTGTACCGCCCATATCGATCTTTCTAGGGCATTTCCTCAATGATCATGAATTATGGATCTTTTTTTGGAATGGGATCGCATATCATTATAATAGACCATTTAAGGAGTTTTATGACCACGCTGCTGGGAACTGGGATTTTAAAGCCAAAAGAGGTAATGTGATCTTGGAAAGGCAGCCTGTGTTCCTCTTACCTTGTGGTCTGCTCCCTCCCCCCTCTCTGAGTCACAGTTTCACTTTTTCCCAAATTCACTTACTCTCTCACCCACTTGGTGTTGTAACTGGGGGGCCGTGGAAAAGCCATTTACCCTCTCGGAGTCCTACGCTTTGCTCCCGCAGGAGCAAGTCCTCGGTCTTTTCTCCCAGACTTCTTTCTTGCTGCCTTCCAACCTCTGTGCCCACCCCCGGCATCACTCCCAGCGTCAGGCTTTCTTTTCTCCTGAGTGAGTGGATGTGGGTCCAGCAGGCCCTAGGGGCCCATGAACACTTACTGAATAAAGGCGTGAACGAAGGCACGAGCAGTTACATCAAGGGATTATGACTAATTGGCATGTGGTGGGGTGGGAGGGGCGAGAAGGGCAGAAAGATTGCTGGGTAGTCGTTCCCCAGCTCAGGTGCGGGCAGGGATGGCAGAGGAGAGGATGCCCTGTTCCCAGGATAGACCCACAGGCCCCGCCAGGCCCGGTCCCCCAAGCAGCCCTGGCTGCTCTGAGTCTTCCTCCCGGGAGCTTTGCCTCGGCAGCAGATCCCAGGCAGCCAGGGATGTTCACAGCCTGGTTTGCGGAGCACAGCTCTGGCACCAACTAGATTCCATGGCCAGTGGGCATTTTCAGGAGCCCAGGTTTAACCTCTTTCAACCCCATTTCCTCACCCACCAATGGAGGTAAGGATACCCCTGTGTTTCAGCGGAAAAACTCCGGATAAGCAATGTAAAGCATTAGCCGATTCTCCAGCGCCCATCAATCTCTCTCCTTCCTTCCAGCGTCTATTTGCCATGATAGACTTCTCCTGCTTCAGGCCATTCCTGACCCTCAGCTTCAGTTTCCTTCCCCCATAGCGGGGGCCGTGGGGTCCTCCCCTGCCCGCTCTGTCTGCCCCCGGCTCCCAGGACCAACCCTGAGGTTTCAACAGCCCAAGACTCCCACTCGGAGACTGCCTTGCTAAGCCTGTCCTGACCTCCGCCCCGGTTCAGAATCTGGTAGAGTCCAGCCAGGTCCAGCTGGGTGGAGCCCAGAGCTGTGCTGGGAGGTGCCCCCTGAAGCCACCTCGCCCCCGCCATGTCCATCTTCTCCCTACACACACCCAGCACGTGTGTTTGTATCACTCACTTGGAAACAACCGAAGTTATTCCTCATAGATGAGTGTGTGTGTGTGTGTGTGTGTGTGTGTGTGTGTGTTACTATGGTTATCTCTTCAGTTAGACTTGGGGTTCTCAACCTGACTATGCATTAAAATCTCCTAGAAAGACTTTTTTTTTTAAATGCCAATATCCAGCCCCATCCCCAGATGCTCAGATTTAATTGGTCTGGAGTGGCCCCTGGACACTGGGACTTTAAAGTAGCACCTTCAAGTGAAGCTGGTGCTGGGAAAGACTGCATCAGCTGTGAGCTCCCGAGTCAGGGAGGCAGCGCGCTCCATTCTGGTTTCCTCCAAGGGGCCTGGGTTAGCCCCGAGAGCACAGGAATTGAGCAGGAGTCACTCTCTCTAGGACACTTTGCCTGACCTCCCCCACCAACCTGGACCAGACACTGCTTGTCCTTATTACATCGTGTTTGATTTCCTGTTTCTCCATCTGCAGCTCTCCATAGACAATGGGCTGCCTGCCCAAGGGCGCGATGCAAACTCTCCTCTCTGGATTCTTTGTCAAAGCCTTTACGCATCAGAACGTACCAGTACCATGAGGATCTGGGACATCTCATCCCTTCCTTACAGTCTCCCAGCCTCCTTCCTTCTCGGTGTTGGCTGTCAGCTTTTGGAAACAGTCTGGTCCTCTATCTCTCATGGCCCCTGTGTTAATTAGCTCTCACTATGGAACAGAGTACCCTACAATTTAGCAGCTCAAAACAACAAATATTTATTATCACATATGGTCTCTGTGGGTCAGGGATCCAGGGCAGCTGAGCCAAGTGATCCCGGCTCAGGGTCTCTCATGAGGATGCAGTTGAGGTGTCTGCTGGGGCTGCTGGACTTGGAGACCTGATTGCCTGGGGCTGGAGAATCTCCTTCCAAGCTCCTCACAAAGCTGTTGGTGGAAAGTTTCAGTCGTTTCAGTCCCTTGTCACGGTGGCCTCTCTGTAGGGCTGCCTCTGACATGGACTTCCCAAGGGCCACTGATCTGAGGGACAAAGGACGCAAGCAAGTGAGAGACCAAACAAGCCAGAAGCCAGTCTTTCCAAATTCACACCATCACTTCCTCCATAGGTCACAGGTCATGCAGCACAACCCTGGTGCAACGTGGGTCGAATTACATAAGGAATCGGGATCGTAGCAGGTCATTTTCAAGGATGAGCATCAGGGCCCCCATGCGGAAAGCTGGCCTGAGATTGCAGAGAAGGCATCCTGTCCTGGTCCTGCCCATTCATCCTCCTCTTCTTGAACCAAAAACATACACTGACCCTTCCTATGTGCGGGGAACAGTGCAGGAGGTGAAGTTCATTATGGCCTCTTTTGGATCTTTTTGGAGAAAAGCTAGTAAAATAATGCTTCCCTGCCTGTCTGTCCCAAACTTCTGGTTTCGTTTTTTGTGACTGAAGTATAGTTGGTTTACAACCCTGTGTTAGTTTCTGGTGTACAGCATAGTGGTTCAGTTATATATATATATATATATATATATTCCTTTTCATACTCTTTTTCATTATAGGCTCTTACAAGGCATTGAATATAGTTCCCTGGGCTCTACACTAGGACCTTGTTGTTTACCTATTTTTATATATAGTAATTACCAAACTTCTTAATAACACCTGAACTTGGAAAACTTCTTCACTGAGACTCCAGTGTGAACCAGAAGTTCCAAACCTCTCCAGAGTGCGAGCTTATTTTTCATGGTTATGATATTTCAAGACAAGGGGAGTCGGAGTGGAGGGGAGACTGAGAAATGCTGCCTCCAGGGCTCTGAGGGGCGGGGGGTAGGTGGGTGGAAGCCCACTTCCCGGGCTGCCTCTAAGATGTGCAGGACAGAAGGCAGGACAGGAGGCAGGGTCAACCCTGCGGCTTCCCCAGGGAGGAGGGGATGGAAGGCCAGCCAAGCTCAGTTAGATGTTGGGTCGGTTCAGTTTCTGCTTTTCACCTAACTGTGTGACTCCAGCAGCCCCAGTTCATCCCCTGGGGCCTCAGTTTCCCCATTTATAAAATGAGTCCTTTGGACAAATATTCAGACTTTTTTTTTAAAATGGCACCTTCATTTTTCCAAATTAAATCTCATAACCAATGGCGTGAATGGAGTATTACCACCTCATTACAATATAACACAGACAACATTATAATGGCTACTGTGCACTCAGTGCTCAGCAGCTTCCTAAGGCTGTTCTTAAACCCTTTGCACATGTTAACCCACTGAATCCCCACAGTGGATTTTTTTTCTTATCATCAGCCCATTTTACAGAAGAGGAAGCTGAAGGACAGAGAGGTGAAGTAACCTGCCCAAGGTCACACAGCTTGTAAGCGCCTTGAACTCCCACAGGGAGGCCCCCCAGGGTCCCTGGGCTGTACAAATAGAAGCACAATTGCCCAGGAGGAAGTGAGGGAGGAGCCTGGAAGCCCCTGCATTGGCCCCTTCTCCCTCCTTCTTCTCCCCGTTAGCACAGTGATGGGCCCCTAGTGTTGGTGGAGACTTCCCCTTTGTTTCTGAGCCCCAATGGGGCTTTGAAGACACGTGCATCCGAACCATCTGGGAGGCTTATTAAACTACAGATTTTGAGGCTACTTTGAAGTTCACGAGCTCTGATGCTCCGGGCGGAGCCCAGGGATCTCCAGGTGAGTAAGCACTCAGGTGAGTCAGGGCGCACTGACGTGGAAGGCTTGCCGCATCATGAGTGAGGCTGGGCAGCTTGATCACAACTATTTGGCTTAGAAAGGCCTGGATTTCAAAACTTCCTGAAGGAAGAGGGAGGCCAGGGTCTGACAACGCAGCCAGGGGTCTGGCCTGATCGGGTCTCCAGGAAGGAGTACTGTTAGACCACCTGTCAAACACGGCCTCCCGCCGGGCCCACGACCTGGGTCGTGCTGTGGTCGCCCAGAGAGTGAGCCAGGAACTCCTTGCCCAAGAACAAAGCCTGGGGCCTGGTCCCTGTGACCCTCACTCCGGGTCACAATTAATCAGCACATCTGTGAACACGCCAGGTGACATGAGGCCGTTTTCATGCTTTGGAGAGAAAACAATTTTCATTACTCTTCAGCACGGCCCAGGAATCGGAGAAACAAATGCTGTTCGACATTCACGCGTTAATGACTGTTATTCCTCGAGACCCTTACCACCCAAGCACTGCTTACAAGCTTGACGGCAGAGACTGTTGGCAGTGGGAAATCTGGCTTCTCATGGCCTCTCCTGGGGGCCGCCTTGGCTGTTAGATTTGGGCGGAGGTCATTAACAGATGTATCGTAGGCACAGGGCAATCGTGTGGTGCTTCTGCGTATAGCTGTTCCACGTAAAAGAGACACGCCCAAGCGGAAAGAAATGAACACGAGCCAGAAAGACACGGACAGCCGGGCCGCGTTAAAATCGCTCATAGGTTCATCCGCGTGTCGGGACCAGGAGAATGCACTCTCTTCCACCACCGTTTAAGTCATAGATACACCATGCGCTAGCGTTTTCTCAGGAAGGGACCCTCTAGCGCTTGTTGGATTAGCTGGGCAGTTCTAGTAACTAGCGGGCCCAACTGCGTTCAGCGCAGGAGTCCACCTGCCCTCCAGGAGGGACAGTTTGGTCACTGGCCACTAGAGGGAAGCAGTGAGTCCAGAGTCGGGCTAATCCTCTCACTCGTGGATTCTTGCCCCACCCTTGGGTGTGTGGGTACCTGAAAAGCCAGAACCACAAAGAAGTAGGAGAGTAAAAGAGAAAGTGTTAATGTTGGCACACTGGCTTATGTGAGCCAGGAGTCTGAATAACAATAACAATAACAATAATATATAATATAATATATAATAAAATTTATTATTATTATTATTATTATTATTATTATTATTATTATTATTATTATTATTATTATTATTATTATTTCATAAGGGCAGCTAACACCATGCTTGCCAGAGCATCGCACAGATGAGAGGTTTGGGGTTCGGAAAGGTCAATACAGCTGCATGGCTAAGAGGTGGATTAAGTCTGGGGACCCAGATCAGGCTGAGTTCATGTAACACTTTGCCTCCTGGGCAGCAAGTAGGGAATAAAGACCCCTGGGACTTGGTGAGGGCCAAACATCTCCATCTGCTAAGGAATGTATTTTAAAGGATAAAAATTAGTCGGAATTGAGTCATTCCTTGCTCCCTGCATGAGGAGGTGGGAGGTAAGAAAGGTCACGGGCTACTAAGCCGTGCCACCTGGAACCAGACACGTTGACAATTACTCATCCCTGAGTGTGGTCCACGCGGACTCAGGAGGTGTGGTAGCCATGGTGACCGCAGGAGCAGGGACATCCAGTTCCATGGTAGTTAAGGGAATCATGGCCCCATCTGACCCCTGGCGTCCTGGAGACTGATGGAGACAAGCCACCAATGAGTCAGCCCTTCCCGGTGAAGTGCATAGGGGTGGGGCTGGGGGTCGCACCCACCAGGACAGGAAGAGATGGGCAAGGATGGCCAACTATGCCATCAGAGCTGAAGGGGGTCTTGGAGAATCTTCTAGTCCAATCTCCCCACAATATGGATGGAGACACCCAGGTCTGGGAGAGGAAGGAACTGTGACATCTCATCACCTGTGGATGGCACCGCCAGGCCTGGATCCCAGCTTTCCTGCTCTCAGGATCATAACCTACTCCAAACACCTCCTCACAAAACCAAAATCTCCCTCCAGCTCCTCAGAGCCCTCCCGCATGGCCCTTGAAGTACCCAGGTTGCTGCTCTGGGCGAGCCCAGCAGGAAAGCCCCTCCTCCCATCACCAGCCTCTTTGGAGGCAGTGATGCCTGCTGGTGCCCCCGGCTGTGCGGTGAGGCCAGGACTAGGGGGCCCTCTGCTGGGCAGCTGCGGACTTACCCGTGGGAAGGGAAGGAATGAAGGGAGCTACTGAGTGAAGCCAGCTAGCTGAGTTGAGGGGCCTGAGGGCTGGCCCAGGTGAGCATCCTTTAAACAGGATCAGTGACAGCAAAACTGGGACCTGAGCCACCTGTGCTGCCGTCCCTCGGCTCCCTTCTACCATTGTGGCCCCTGCCAGGCAGCCTTGAGACCTCTGCTCAGGACTCTCCTCCTGTCTAACCCTCTGGCCCATTCCTTGTGTTCTCTCCCTCTCCAGGTCCTGCTAATATGACAGTGACTCTTAAAGGGTAAATGGATTCTTTCCCCCCAGATCTCACCCCAAAGCTGTGACCAGAGGGTAGAGGGCCCACCACTCCCCACACAGGGTAAAGCCCACCGGTGGGCAGGCCCTGGTGTCTTTGCAGAGCCACGCTGGGCAATAGTTCTGACCTCAGGGAATCCTGCCCCTTACTAGCTCTTTGACTTTGAGTAAAATTCTGAACCTCTCTGATCCTCTGTTTCCTCATCTGGAAAGTGGGACCAATAATTCTCATTTTCAAGCAATGCCTTGAATATTAACTGAGATGACATAGAAGTATCTGTCATAGGACTCGGTAACTATTTACTTCTTTCATGGAAATCCTGTTTTTTTAATCTGCAAAATTAGGAATTCGTTTCTGCCCCACAAAACCGTAGCCTGGAACATTGGGCTTTGGAAATCAGGAATTGCTCCACCACCCTGCAACTAGCAAACACACGAGAGGGCCACCTTGAGTGTAGACACCAAGGTTCACACCCAGTCACAGAGAAGGGAAGTGATCTACGCAGCAAGTCTGGTGACAGCAAGTGTCCGGACACGCCACCTTCTGAGCTGGACCTGGGTAACCTAGCAGGTGCCCGTCCCACATGGGCACAGAATCGTGGTTCCACTTTCCCCTTGTTATAGATGTTCTCGAAGGCCCCCAGCTCTGTGCCCTGCCTCCCATACGAAAGAAGCCCCTCTGTATGATCTCTGCCAAGAAGTCATCTAGTCACTGCTGATACTCCTCCGGGGACAGGAAGCTCACTGCCCCACCCGGCTGGCATCTCTGGACAGCTCAGATGGTGGAGATGTTCCTACTATAATGCCATGAATTCTGTCTCCATGTAATTCCCACGACTAGTAGAGTCTCAGATTGATAGAACCCTTCTTTCTCTAAATCAGCTGTTCAGTGACCTGCAAGCCTTCCTGTCTCTGTCAACCAAGCGCTCACATGGACCAGATCCTTTCAGCGTGGAGTTCAGCATACCTCTTAGACTTTCAGGGCTGGCTTTGCAAATTCCAGGGCCACTGCTGACCTTGGCAGCAGCACCCGTGTGGGCTCAGATCCATCAGGCTGGGCCCGTGGATTCCTCTTACCACTCCAGGCTCAGCCACCGAGCTTCTGTCCCACTCCTGCTAATCCCTGCCTCCAACAGCCCTTAGGGATGCGTTGAAACTGATCATCGTTGGGTAACTTACCTATAGGCGCTTTATACATGACCCCCTTTTCGTCCTCCCAATACACCTTCAGGGTCAGTACTGTTATCCCCATTTCACAGCTAAGGAAATGAATGTTCAGAGATATTTAGTGACTTGCCCAAGGCCTTACAGCCAGCAAGCTGTGGAACTTGGAGTGGAAGCCTGATCTATTTGAATTCGAGATGAGAGACTGCGTTCTTCCCGCACGGGTATGATGGAAATGTGAATTTATCCCAAACGAGAGAAGCAAACTCTTACTGCTGTTGTTTCTTTATGTTCTGGGTGAAGGATAAAAGCATCAGTAGGTGCGCAAGGCTGAGGGCTGTCAGAGCTCCTTAGGTGGTTCATAGCTCAGACAACCAGGCAGCCCCGACAGCGCTGAGAAGGGCGGTGTTGAGAGGCTGGCCGTAGCCGGGGCAGATTGGCTGAGTTCCCAGTCAGGCTACTGCTCACAAACCCACAAAAGTTTGGGTCCAAAGTTTGAGTCCCTACACCTCCATCCAATTGGCTGCCTCCCACGAGTTTTTAACCTCGGTCCCACATGAGTCTGGCTGAGAGTGTGGACAGCACATAGAGTCCAGCAGCTCCTTCAGGAATGGGTTCAAGACAGAAGGTCTTCAGGGACCCCTGGAAGGCAGCCGTCACCGTGCTGACACCATGAACCCTGGTCTCTTCTGCTCTCCCCACACCCCAAACCTGTGTCATTCCTGCCTCCGTGCCCTCATCCTTGCCCTCCCCTCTGCTTGGGGCGTCTGCCCCGCTTTGAGGGGTGTGGTTACCCTGGGTAATGTGCAGCTCGGCTGGGCTGCACCACACTTCCCAGCATCCCTCCCCTGACGTTCCCGGTCGGGGCCCCCGGATGGGGGATCGGGAGGTGGAGGTGATGCAACAGCCACCTCGTGGCTCGCACACCTTGTGGCTTAGCTGCTGCCTGTCTTGTTGGTGGTCTGTCCTGCCACAGCTCCACCAGCCCCTGGAACCTTCTTAAAGCTTCCCTTTACCGAAAGGACTGCTCTCACTGCCTGGATCCACTCTTTTCACCCAGTGCTTCTTTACTGGTGAACATTTGCTGCAAGCATGTTTGCCCCGTAACTAATTGGCGAGGAGGCAAGTTTGCTGTGAAAGATAAAATAACTAGTTGCAGTTTGGGGTTTGACTGTTTGGTTTCAACTGGTTGGGATGCGTTAGCACTCTGTCTAGTTGGCGACGTGACTGATGGCTTTATCCAGCTAACAGATGAAGAGGATATGCCCCGATCACTGAGTTGGTTTCTTATTTTGAAACACACCATATTGGAGGAGAAGGAGGCTGAGGGCCTCGAGGTGGAGGCTTGAAACCCCCATTTCCCATAGAACATTGGAATGTCTGTCAGCCGACATGAGACAATGTGCCAAGAACACACAGCAGGGCAGAGGCGGTCACGATGCAGTCCCAAGCTCCGTTACAAACATGCCGCCTAGTATTTGGAAACTGATGCCTCTCCGAACGAAGGAAGAAATTTCAGCAAAAGAAAAAAAAGTGTAAATACCAAGCAAACAGGATGAATCAATAAGCAAAAAAAAAAAAAAAGTCTAAAATCCTATGAACTATGAACAGAAGCCTTGTAAGACAAACGCGTAGGTACAACCCGCAAAATAAGATCGGCTGTTCATGCAGTATCGCCTTGAATCCACGCACAGTTAAGATGCATTCAAATATTTTATATTTTGCAGCAAAGTCTTTCTAATTTTGCTATTCATTTCTCATATTTCATTCTGTCCTTTTTAACGTCCTTCTTTAATTTCATCTTTCGTTATGTTATCTTTTACGGCAGAATTGCCTTACAGCCCATTATTTACCTGGTGCAAATGTTTGTGGCCAAGATGCTGATGGGGAAAGCACCCAGAACACTCGCCGAGCACCCCAGGAGTTCCCCTCCCCCAGCAACCCCTTACTTCTCGTTGCTCTGACTCTCTCACCTCCCAGTCCCCAAGGGTTGGGTCTGGCAGATCCGGCTTGGACCCATCTCCCTTGCCTCCCCACTCGTTTCTCCAGCGTATTCTAGACCGACCCTGTGCCAAACACAGAGTAGGCACTCAGTAAAACACAGAGGCCAGACTGTCCCCCGCTCAGGGGCCAGTCTGCCTTGCGGTCGGTGTGAGGACTTAGGAGCAGCCACTAGGTGGGGATTGGAGGCACTGCCAGGTGCGCTGCTGTTAGATCCTGCTTGCCCAGTGTCCAGGGGTGACCTGGGGGTGCTCACTGGCTCCCCTTTCCATAAAATTCTGGGCTTCCCCACCACGATCAGTTCTGTGGCTGTGTCTGCTGGGGAGGTCAGTTCTGAAGTTCATGCTGGAAGCTTTTGTGTGAATCTCTGACAGTGGACACATCTGTTCCCTAATCAAAACACAGGCAGATTTCTCATGCTGGGCCCTAATTTGCTGAACTCATGCATAATTGAGACAGATTATCTCCATTTTCCAGCCAGACAATTTGTCACTTACTCTTACGGGGGTGATGCTGGGTTGGCTCAGGGCGTTGCGGAGGGAAGCCACCACCCAAGCCCTGTGTGGGAGGCTGGGCAGACTCCATCCTGCCCCTAACAGGATCTAACGCATGGAGAGGCCAAATGGGCACCTTATGCAGGAAGGAAGGGGAAATCCTTGTCTCCAGCAGATGTGTGTGCCAGGGAGGAGGGGCTGGGCGGTGGGGTGGACTGCCCAGTGGGCAGACCCAAGAAAAGAATTTTTCGGCTGAGTCTTCAAGGAAAGCCTGAATCTATCCAAGAGCCAAAAATATCCTAAAGCCTTTAAGCTCCAAACTGGAAGCAGCCAGAACCAAAGTGACTCTGGTTCTGGAGCAGTTGCTGAGCTAGAAACACAATAAGCCTTGGGCTGGGAGCCAGGATGGGTACAGAGGACCAGGAGCAGGGTGTGGGGTGTCCCACTTTACATATTTGCAACAAAAACAGAACGAAACTTGACTAAGGGGGCCCTGTGATCATCAAGAACATCTGTAAAGAGCACCCCTGTGCCCGCCTGGTATCTCTGGGTACCAGAGTTGGACCTGCACACTCATTTTAGGGACATGTGCCTAGAGGGAAGTGCACCTGTCAGTCAAGGCAAAGGGAGGCTCTGTGGGAGAGGAGGGAAGAGCCATATGGGAGTCAGGGATCTGGTCTGTCCCTCCCCTACTGGGTGGCCACAGCAAACCACTGTCCTTCTCAGGCCTCGGACTCCCAGTGGCCCAAGGAAGGGACTGGATTAGGTGACCTCTGAGGGCACTTCCAGCTGTGACATGGACAGACATTCCTGGAGGCCCCACTGTGTGCCCAGTGTTCCTTCTTCATCATTCCTCAGTCCTCCCAGGAGGGAGGCTGTACCATACTCCACAGACCACGCCGCTGATGCTAACACGGCTGAGTAACGCATCCAAGGTGAGAAAGTGGCAGAGCCAGTGGCTCCACTACTGGCAGATGGCAGGGGGCGTCTCAGACCCCCACCCACCCCTGTGTGTGTGTTGTTTCCCATCTGATCCTGTAGGCTGGGGAAGGCAGGGGGCAGCCCATGAAGCTCGCTGGGCTGATTCTGTTTCAAATTCAGACAAAGCTTTGGGCCACCACCGAGACTTCCAATAGGGAAAGGGAGGTCAGTCTATTTAATTAGCACCCCACCCGGCCCAGTCCCTGGAATCTTTCCTCCAGCCATCGCTGCCACCTAAGAGGGAGCATCTGAGACCCTGAGAGCAAACCCGGGTTGCCCCATCACAAACCTTCAAGAAATTCATTTGCTACACTTATCACTACGTCAATAAAAAAGCTGTTCAACATAATTTCCCCAGAGGATGGAGGGA